ATAATTAATCTGATTAGCTCTGATTCAGACTTGAATGTTGAAATTTAAGAAATTTAAATGCAATTAATTGCTATGAAGAGACCTGGCTCAACATACGTATCAATGTGCTGGCACTGTGCAGTGCTCCCCACAACTCCAGGTCAGGGGACAGTAGATGAAAACATTAAAGCGTTTTTCAGGAGGCTGAGTCACACCCAACAGACACTTGCACTGCATGGCATGGCTGTATCCAAAATACAGATAGCAACAGGACACAGTAAGTGAACAGAGATTAACAGATAAATACTGAACTTTGTAAAAATGATTACACGATGGCAAAGGCATAATGTTTAACAGCTCATCTATGCATCTCAAGGACACTCACATTTTATTTCAAGTCCTTGCTGCTGTAGCCTATTTGATAAAGCACAGTTGTATAATGTTGCTGTATAATGCACAGGTTCTCCTCATCCTGCACAGCACAGCCGTTAGGAGGGAGCAATAAAAGCTGAACTTGAGCAATAGGTTCATTCTTCTGACAAACAATCAGGTGTTCATACGGGAACTCATTTTCAGGTAAAACCCCACTATAGTTCTGTAAGTCCTAACAAAACCCACAAATAATTTAATGGAACTACGTGGTATTCTTATATGTTGTAGCAAGAAGTGTCAAAATAACTGTCACTTTAAATGACTGTGCTCATATGATTTATGTCTGGATGAAGCACATGCTGGCCCAGAGCACAGCAGGTCATCAACAAGTTCTCAGGGGAGTGATGTCTCCACTGGACTGCCCTTAGATAGCTCAGGACTTGTCTTTTTAGTTCTCAGTAACATTGTGTATTGCTGTATCTGGTGAATAAGGACAAATACCCCTGTATTACTTTCATTATTATGGTAAATGTCGCATTTAAAACTGTATTTTCCTCTTCTTCTCTTGTTTCAAACACAGCAAGATTTTATGGCCGTTGATTAAAAAATACTGCTATTGAAATTGTTCATGCCACTTCTCCTTTGTTAAAAACAACTTAAAAACTTACCAAGAATAAATAAAAATCCATTAGACAAAGAAAAATTTGTATATTTTGTGCCATTTCGGGGAATTGATGAGAGATTCAGGTAAGGAAAGTTGCAAATTCTTTCAAGGAAAATACAGGTGGACTTTATTCCCTCTCACCCTCTCCACATGCAGCTCATCCCTCTGGTCTCTCTAAAGGACTGATGGTTCAAAGCCAAGGCCACAGCAGCCTATCAAGCTGCGAGGCACCGTGCCGGAGGGACGGCACAGAAGGCCCCCGACTCACCTATGAGCTCCCCCGTCATGAAGAGGAGGTAGAGCAGGGCAGCGAGCGTCAGGCGCTTCTTCACCTTCCTCTGCTTGGAGCGCTCCCGCCGGCTGCTGCAGCCGCTGCAGGGGTCCGGCCGGCCGGCCCGGGCGCTGCGCAGGGCGATGTCCCGGTCCAGCAGGGACTCGTCGTCGGACGGTAGCCCCGGGGACGCCCCGTTCACCGGCGTCTCCGGGGCCGCCTCCGAGCCGTCGTCCGCCACCACCACGCGCAGCTTGTTAAACCTGGGGAAGTCCTCATCCCCCACCTCGTCCGAGAAGTCAAAGGCACTGGAGTCGTTCAGGAACAGAGGGTCCTCTCTCCTCCCGAGCAAGGACTTGATGCTCGTCCAGAGCCCGGCCCCAGCCATAGCGGCGGCGCTCGGGGGCCTCGCCGGGCGCGGCCGACCCGCCGCGGGCGGCTCCGCTGGCGCAGCTGTGCCCTCGCAGGCGGCGCCCCGACCGCTCGTCGTCCCGTCAGGGCATGTCCCCTACATCGCCGCCCCCGGGCCCCGCGCAGGTCGGACAGAAAGAAGCGCGGGGCTCCGCAGCGGAGCGCCCCGGCACCGCCGGCCCACAGCGCCGCCTCCGCGCCGGGCACCGCGCCGCGAGGCGCTGTCACCGCCGGAGCCCCGGTCCGCGCTGCCCGCGGAGCGGGGGGACCGCCTGCGGGGCTCGGGGGCGGACGGGCCCGGCCGGTGCGGCGGCGGCACCCGCGTGTCCCTCGGGGTGGCCTGAGGGGCTGCTCCCGTCCCTCCGTGCCTTTGTGTTCAGTGGGTAAATGCCATGCGAGGCAGAGGCTGAGAACTGCCGAAGCCGTACAGTGCAGGTATGGTGGTCCGTGATAGACACAAGCTGTGCTCAGTACGCTGGAAGGCTGAACTGCATAGTTCCGTGCTCTGGCTTCAGATTTTGAACGGCAGAAGTTTGCATTGTATTGCTTTTCTCTTTCTCTTCTGTCACGGCTCAGCTCTTTACATTGTTTCAGTGACTCTGTTAAGGTAGAGTTGTGGGAAGATTCATATGCCTTTCTGAAATTCCTTAAAGGATGTGAGGAGAAACAAACCTCAGGGACCCTGCTGTTGTATAATTCCTTTCATAGCTGTGCTCTAACACAAGAGCAATAGATTTTTGCCTTTATTAATTTTTCTGAGAGGTCATTCCTGCTCCTTATGGTCTGAGTACTTGAAATTCTTCTGAATTTCAGCCTACACGTGTTCTGCATCAGTTTGTACCTTTGGCCAAATTCCTGTTACTGTATTCAGTCAGTTTACTAAGCCATAAATATTTCTGGGAAATCATGCCTGTCAGAGAGAAGGTACATATCTTGCTTTGTTACTGGGTTGAAGGAAGTTGCCAAGGGGAGACTGGAGAGTTGTATAGAAGTGCAGGATTTTGGAGAAGGGCACTCTTTTTCTGGTCAAAGGTTGATCGCAGATTCTCGTAGGCATCAGGGCAATGCTGCAGGACAGGGAGTGAGCCCCTTCTTGGAACTGGCCCTGTGGGAGAGGAGTCCTCTGTGGTAAACTGGCGCTGGGTGGAGGTTGCTTATTGTTGTTCTCTTCATGATGTCCAAAAATAGACAGTATGACACTTTATCTGAGCTCCCTTGCCATTTTATAATGTGGCTGTTTTCCTGAGTGTGAATCTCAGGTTATTTTTCTTCAAGTGGCTAAAGTGGTGCCATCTCCTGCCCTTTTACCCATCTCATGATTCCCCCAGCATTGTTACCAGCACAATTGTTCAGGGGCCAGACAACGAACTGAGTCCCTGAAATGGGTCAGAATTAAACAGTGCATATTGGGAGGGTTTTGGATATATTTGTATGTGTAACTGAGACTGCTTGCATGATCTCAACTCGCAGAGACATCCATATGACAACGAGGGGGCAGCAAACAGTGTGGGAGTCAGAATAAGCAGCCAGGGATGGGAACCAGTTAAGCCAGCCTTGCTGCCTAGGAAAGTGCTCCCAGCTGGGTTCCAGTTCACCCATTTTCGATGCTTCTGTTCTCTCTGCGTGATTTAACTCACTCTGTGTTTCAAGAGTTTCACCACTTGTACCAGCACAGAGTGAGTGAAGGACACAGAGACATGAGCAGCCAGGTTCCAGGAGGCACCAAAAGAACGGCATTTAAAACTGTCTTTAAGTGTTCGGCTTTAGCTGGAGCTTTGCCACTCCTACAGGAACAGAAACTTCCAGCACTCAGGAAGGTTTTTAGCTGGGGGACTAACACACTAAACCAGTGCACCAAGGTTTGCCAGCTCACCTTTTACTGAACAACTAAGAGCAGACGTGTTGTCAAGTCAAGAACCAGCTTATACATTGGAAAGATGAGCCGCTGGTGAACAGAACTGTTTGTACCAGATACACTCAATTTCTTCATTGCAACAGCCAAGGCTCTGCTCTTTCTATAGTCTCGTTTACTTAATGAGGACAGAGAGTCTCTAAGAGGTTACCTATTAATGTGAAGTATTTCCTTTTCATGTTATCATCCCTGAAGTCACATGGCACCTCCAGCGCTGATGGTTTAAAACATCCTATTTGCTATACAATTCAAGCTAACTTAACTCCATTTTCACTAGGTGGGGCACCATTACAATAGATGTGACTGCTTAAATCAGTTGGAAACAATAAAATCCAAAATGCCTATGTGACAGTGTCCATTACAGGTTTCTGAACACAGTTGCTACAACATAAAATAAAACACAATTATGTGGTGTTAACAGTATTACAAACATAAGCACTTGAGAAATAATTACTGTGAAACAGAGGACATTTTGCAGAAGAAAAAGAACACGAAATTTTTCTATCATTCACTTTTTTGGAACATTTGGGTTGACAAATGGTTAAATTTTAATTTGTCTAGAAAACCAGATACCCGTTTTCTATTCCAATCCTTAGTCTATTTCTGCAAGATGTGGGAAGGCCTGGAACAGGCAAAGCTGAGCACAAATCTGAAACTCCCACATCTCAAGTGAGACTATTTCAGAGTCATTATCTCACTTGTTCTTACTAGAAATTCCATCTGGAAACTGCAAAGTCTTTCCCAGTGAAACTTTCAACAAAAGTTGTGGGTTTTCTCCCCTACCAAAAGAAACTTTTAAGTAAAATTGCTAACCAGTTGGAATTAAGAATTTGAGTCTGCTCGAGTCAATATTTCCTCTTATTGCTCCTTTAAAAAAGCAGAAAAATGGGTAAGTCTTTAATCTGATGATGGAATAGTGACATAATTGTGAACAAAAGTTAATTAGAATATGCGTATGAAGAAAAATGCAAATGAATTTGCAACAACCTTTCTGTTAGAAATGTTAGTTTTAAGGTTGACGGATCACCTCAAAAGCCCCCTTTTTTTGCCTTGATGTATTTCTGAAGAACTGCCTGAATTGAATTTAATCTTTAAGGTCTGGGGATACATTAAAATACTGCATTAAAAAAAAAAAAAAAAAAAAAAAAAACCAAACAAAAAAACAACTTTCTGAGTGGTCCTTCATTAGTTATTGTATAGTTGCACCTGCATTTCCTGAAAAGACCAGGGGGCTTCCGACGGCTCCGGGCGAGTCAGGCACCCCCGGGGAGCGGAGGGGAGCGGCGGGAAGGAGCGCCCGGCACGGCCACCGGCACCGCCCCGGCGGGCGGCCGCGGCCCCGCTGCCAGGCGCGGTCCCGGTGCCAGGCGCGGCCCCGCTCTCAGGCGCGGCCCCGCTGCCCTGCCGGAGCGCGCCGGGAGCGGCAGCGATGAGCGGCGCGGAGCGGCCGGAGGGGAAGGAGGCGGCGGCCACGGGTGATCCCGGGCGCTCGCTGGGTACGTGAGGGGAGCCCGGGCCGGGCGGGACGCGGGTGCGGGGAGAGTTGAGGAGAGGCTGGAGCCCTCGCCGGCCCGGTGAGAGCAGGGCGCCCCTCGGGAGGCTCCGCCACAGCCGGTGTTACGGGCGGGCTCCCGCGGGGGCCAGGGGCTGCCTCCCGCATCGCTCTCTCCCGTGCGGGGGCTTGTTGGCTAAAAGGTTTTATCTTTCACGAGCTGACAAAAAATAATCGTAGCGTGCCCATATGAAACTTACAGGCTGTGAAGTTCAGTTCTTGGAGTTCAGCGTGAACTCTTGAACGCTCTGTTTTGAGTGTCAGGCGAAGACCTTTCGTAGCCTAGCTTGTTCTCAGACTTTGAAAGCGAAGGTTGGGGCTGTTAATGTTTAGGTACTCTTGATACATAGTCAGAACACTGATGTTGCCCTTTTTTTTCTTCAGTGGACTGGAGTACTCAATCTTTAATTTATTTTTTATTTTTTTTAAGATATATATGGAACAGTTGTATTTCCTTCTTTCTGTTCTGCTGCAGTTCACATAAAAGGGTTTGCCAGGAAGCTTATGATACAGGGCTGAGAATAAGGGAGGCATAAAGAAGAGGAGAAAGACGAAAGTCCAGTTTAGTTGAAAAAGTGCAGAGAATTTTACTGTGTTTTAATGCATTTCATTTTTTGAAAAGGAACATATAGTTCCTCTAGGTGAAACTTGAAGTGTGTGCTGACCTGTCACGCTATACTCAGCCTTGCTGTTCTTGGCTGTAGGTCCCAGTGATGCGTCTCCAGATGAAGGAGTCGTAGAAGATCTGCCTTTAATAGATGAGAAAGCTGTGGAGCAGCTAACTGAAGGATTGATTTCCCACTATCTGCCTGATCTTCAGCGATCAAAATCAGCACTGCAGGAACTTACGTAAGCAGATTTTTGAAACCAGCTTCATACACGTGCATCCTTGGTTTGCTGCTCCTTTCAATATAATGTGCCAGCTCCCTGTAACTGGAATATAGTTTATCAGCATTTCTGTATCCTGACTCAAGCAGCCTGAATAATTCAGTGATCTGTGGGAGTAGCAGGGGGTGTTTAATCTGCAGTGTAGCCTGTGAGCACAGAAGAAGAATGTGTAACACTAGAAGAGTAAAATCCCCTAAGCCAGGCAGAGCAGTAGACCTAGATTTCTTAAATGTTTATTTACTTCTGTAGTGGAAAAGTGTTCTAAAAGCTGGATTTATTTTGCTTAGAGACATGCAGTTTATATTCAAGGAAGCTTGTAGTGAGATATTGTTTATTGTTCATTTTCTAAACCATATTGCAAAACACTTGAAAAACACAAGTAAGGAGCTAAAGAGATAAGAGTTGTTTGTACACTGATACCTCACTGATAACCAAGAGCAGCTGATTTCAAATGCAGATCAGATCTGCCATGGATACAGAGATACTGGAAAGAGCTTTACACAGATCCATCTCAGGTTTTGCAGGGTACCTTAGTTTGGGTTTCACCATGCATGATGTGGTTGTGCTCCTGCCAAGGGCAGCCTTTGTCTGGAAAGACTTCAGCTGATTTGTGTGGGATGGAGATCCTTTATAATCACCAGGAATCCACACGAGTTCTGTACAGAAATAACTTAGTGCTGTGTCATGACACAGAGGCACCCAAGTGGAAAGTCAAGAGCTAATTGTTCTTCCTTCAGTCAGCTGCTGCAACCTGGAGAGTGCCTCTTCAGGGTCTGTGGGATATTTATCCTGGATATCCATGGGCTGTATCATACCAACAGAATTTGTGCAACAAATAGCAGCTGGATTTTTCTAAAGTCATTTACTCACGTTTTTACTGAAATTGCCTAGCAATGTACAAGAGGAATCTGGTATTAAAAAGTGTTTATTGGTACTGTTTTGATTAAAAGTCTATTTAAAGGGCTGGTTGAAAAGCATATGTGGTGCTTTACTTTGAGTTTATGCATCTTTTTTTGTTTTAGACAGAACCAAGTGGTACTGCTAGAAACATTAGAACAAGAAATTTCAAAATTCAAAGAGTGTAACTCCATTGTTGATATCAATGCTTTGGTAAGTATCAGTAATGCCTTTTAAATTCTAGATTAGCATAGATTTTCTTGCTGAAGCATTGCTAGCAGCTTGTGTCTTTTCCTTTTTCTTAATGACCTACAGGAAGAAAACCAGCTCAGATATTAGGGACAAACTGCTGGAGAGGGTGGGAACCAGCATGTTTCCCTTAATAGGAAGGGCATTGGGAAGAGAGAGCAGAGAGCAGGCTCAGGCAGGCAGCACTGGTGGGACTGGCTGTTCAAACCCAGCAGCCAAAGCAAATGTACACATTTTTTCAGTAGGATTGAGACTCCAGCATGGGCTCTGTGCACCTCTTCAGACTAGCAGGAATGGAGCATGAAACACTCCTGTATGGTGCATAAAGTTGTAATATTTTTGTTCTGTTTCATGAATCTTAACTCAGTAGATTACTGTGTGTAACTGTTGAGATTTAGTAGCTTTCTGTACTAATATATGTGACATGTAAATTTTATATATAAACTTGAACATGTTTGTTCCATTATCAAACTGTTCTAGTAATCACTGTTTTTGATTGCTATTTTACTGTGTAGCTTTATAAAACAACTACTCTAACTTGACAGTCAATGCTTTAACAGTTATGGTTTTTAAGTTTTCAGAAGCTAAACACTATCACAACAAATTAGTGAATATTAGAAATGAAATGATGATGCTGCATGAGAAGACATCAAAGTTAAAAGTAAGTGGGATAAATATTTTTACTTTCCAATACAGATATTTGCTTATATATTATTGAATTCCAACTTTTGTTTTGGATGCGTACTGAAAATTCTGATTCAAATAGAACTTTATCTCAAAAGGATTGCAAAAGGATGTTTTCAGTAGCTCCAAGCCATGTATGTTTTTAACCTTTCACTTGCTCCTGATGGTGCTCAGGCATCTTACACATCTGAACTACTCTTTCAGTGTAATCTTCATGTTTAGGTGGTGTAAGAGTCATGCCTTGTTCTGTTGCTTAGTCCACTTCATTCCAAGCAGTTCTCTTTGTTGTTTCAGTTTCATTTCAATGGAAACTAGATTGTCACAAATGTAAGAATTTCTCCTTCTGCCATTAACAGTGGCATAGGTTCACTGATTTCATGCTGTATAGACAGCCTGGTTACATTCTGGCAGGATTAGTCAGTGTCTAACAAGAGAATTTTTTCTTGGAGGCAGTAAATTGCATGGTAAGATCCTTGTCAGGTGTACCCAAAGGATAACTTTAGTGAGACTGAAGGGGCTCCAGTTTGTGTTTTCCCAGTGTAGATCACAAATTTCCCTTGTCGGAACAATAAGCTGAAAGTGGGAGGGATGAAGCAAAAATGAACAGTTTATGCTGCATTCAGTCATAAGGAGGGTGTGTTGCAGAGAGGCAGAATGGGAGGGATTTTGTTGCTTCAACTTAAATATATCTATAAAACTTACAGTTATTTTCTTGTCTTTTCTGTTTAGAAAAGAGCACTTAAGCTGCAGCAAAAGAGGCAGAAGGAAGAACTGGAACGAGAGCAGCAGCGTGAGAAGGAACTTGAAAGAGAGAAACAGTTAACAGCAAAACCTGCAAAGAGGACCTGAAAACAGGGCATGCAACAACTTGTCTCAATTAATGATTCCTACATTCACTGGAATTAAGGCAGACTTTGCTTAAATTGGGCTATAGCTGTTGCTAGCAACAGTATACTCTATGGTATTATAAATTCCAGAATGGTAATAATAGAGTTGGTAACATTCACATTTTTTAATTTCAGCCATTCAAGTTGCCTTCTTTTGTAATGCTATGCAGTTTGATATTATAATGTAAGTTAATTTTTATATATATATGTATATAGGAGAACTAGGCATCATAGTTTTAAGTACCTATCCATTTTTGTTTTCTTCTGTTCTTTCTGTGTTTAGAATTCTGAGAGATTTGATGACTGGCACATGTTTTTCAGACAAAATGCAGAGAACTTCTTAAAGTTCAATTCTTATCACCAGACTTCAGTGGCTGCAGTTTCACTGAAATTGCTTTGTTTCATGTAGTTGGGATCTGTCTTTGATCATAAATACTGATTTCTTGTGCCTTAGTTTGATCCATCTCTAAAGAACTGAAGAAAATAGCAGTGTATTTGCTTGAAAGTTCACTTCATTGCAGCAATCTTTTTTTTTCTTTTTTTTTGTCATCAAGTAACTTAAGAACAGCTTTAAAGTAACTTCTGAATAAATTCCCAGTTGAAATGATTGGCAGGGGAGAAGCAGAACACTAAAGATTGTCAAAATGGATGTGTGCACAGTGCAAATATTAATGAATATGTGCTTCCACAAACATTTAAGTCAAACCAGGAAACTGTTGCTTCTGTAATGGTTTATTAGGAAGACTTGTGTGGTCTAAGCATATTTTTGTGGGATTAGAAGTTGTAATTTCTTTATCTTGTGTGACAAAATAAAACATAACCAAAACTAAAATTTTCCACTTCATGTGAAATTCAGCCACCTGTAGGAAAAGTACTGCATTTACTGTTTTTTCCTTAACAAATGAATCATTTGCACTTCAGGGCTATCTAAGATACTTTTTATAAAGAGTCCTCACCCAGATTGATGATTATTAGTGTGTACTGATGAGAAATTTGGAAGGGAGGTTGATATCCAGTTCTCTGAATGTAATTCCTGTCTTGCAGCACTTGGTGTGAACTCCCATTCAAATGAATGTACAAATTGTCTAGACTAGTGAAAGAGCTTTAAATTATTTGTTCCTATAGTCTAACAAACTAGTTATTTTATAACTGTGTTTCTTTTCAAGTATATCTGTTTCTTTTTAAGTAATAGTGTAAATGATGTGTTTTGAAGTAAGATAAAGGGTAAGCTATGTAAAGTTTTCCATAAAATATGTATAGGAATGTATCACAGGGGCACAGTCAGTTTTATTTTCCTTCTGTTTTAGATGACTCACACAGTGTGCACCTGCCTGGACTTTCTGTATTGCCATTTTCTGAAGTCCTAATTTCCTGTTCTTAATATTTGACATCTTTTTCTGTGAAAGATGTACTCTAACAAGTACTCAGGCATCATGAAAAGTAAACTGGGATAATGTTTTGGGGCAAGGAGAACAAAATACTTCAAGCAGTCTGAAGAGACACTGAAATGCTTTCAGTGTAGCAGTATTAGATTAAAACTTTCCCCAGGTATTTTTCCCTGAAGTTGACTCATGGCTATTAATTGCTAGTGGATTGTTGGCCTCTGCTGTGGTTTGTATGTATTTCTAAGAGAAATGTAAAGAATTTCCACAGTCCATTTTTTTGGAGCAGAATGTACATAACTAAATGTTGTCTAAGTATTTTATTTTGTAATGTAATTTCACAATCAGATTCTGGGAATTAAAACTGTTCTCATTAAACTATAACATGAAACTGGATGCCTCAGTATCCACATCAGGATTGAACTCCTTTGATATTTCTTGATTTGTATGCCCTCATATAGAATCCAGTTGACTGTGTCAAGTCATATTCTCTTTCTCTGTCAAGAACTGTGTGGTTTTTTCCAAAGAACTGTGGTTTTTTTGGATTTTGTTTTGTTTTGTTTCAAAAAAAATCATGGTTATTTTAACTAAAACTAGAGAATTCTAAGAAATTCATAGAAATTGATATTTTGAACTTTGGTACATTTCAGCACTTGAAATAATTTCTAATTAAAGGAGTAAAAGCTGGCAGTGCTTACCTGAGGAATCACATGCACATACATAAAAATGTAATTGATTAACTTTTCCTATAAAAGCATGGTAAGATCTGGGTTTTCTATGAATAAGAACCTAATTTTACTAATTCACCTTTATGTAATAAAGGGGGGAAATTAATAAAAATATATAGGATGAAGTTTGTTCCATTTACATAACTTCTATTAATGTGTTCTTAAATCACTTCAATGAAAACTACAATTCATTATCTCCATAGGATGTTCTGCCAAACACTCTTGGAAGTCTTAATGCATAAAAGTAAATGCTGAATTGGATGAATTTAATAATACTGACGTCTAAAACTGTGTGCTTGCATCGTCACGCACAGCTTGAGTGAGCAGTTCTGTTGCTGTGTACACTTAGTCTTGCTTGCTTTTATAAAAAGTTACTCATGGAGTAGATAGATGTGGTAGTACAGGGTTAGGGTTAGGCAGTGTGTGCCCAGCCCTCACACAGCAGCTCCCACCCTCTCATCCTGCCTGGATTTTGGAAAGGTTAAGGCAGTGCTCCCTATGGCTGCTGGAGGCCTCTGTGCTACAGGTGAGGAGTTTCTTCATGTTTGGTTTGTGAGTTTCTGAATTATGGAATTAATGAGTAATTTTTTAACTTAAAACTGCAGGCTCTGTAAGCAGTCTGTGGGGAAATATGCATGGGAGCTTAAAGAAAATACTGCAGTGTTTAAAGGCAGTCCTAAAAATACATGTTTAAAAAAACAGCCCAACAATTTTCTCATGAACAGAGATGAGGATCAACCACTTAGAACAAAAAACGTGGAAAAAAGGCTGCACTCTGATTATACAAAGGCAGCTGGAAACAGGAAGTTGAGCAACTCATAAAAATTACAAAAATGGGCAGTTTGGGTGTTTTAAAGGATATAACTATAAACCCTGGGGCTTTTTTCTCTCTAGAGGATAGAAGTCTCTGTATTAACAAAAAAAGTCTGATCTCCATGACACTTTAAAAAATACTGATTTGTGTCTTCTTTCAATACACTTTCTGTCCAGTGAAACCCAGGAACTGTAGGTGTTCAGCAGCTTTGAAAAGAGAGCTTTTGGCTATCACTGGGGGATGCACTCCATCAGAGCTCATTTATTATTAATTATTGATCTAGTTATTTTACTGCGCTTAATATTTTTTATGGTTTTCTGTCCATGGAAAAGGGCTCCTAGATTATAGCTAGGGCTGGTGCTCACAGGTAACTGGAGGAAGTTCAGGTGTTGAAGTGTCAGTGCTCCCTCCGTGGCAGGTACTGCAGTGGTCGTGATCCCGCTGTCGGTAACGGCGCTGTGGGTGAGCCGTGCTGTGTGTGTCAGGTGGGACTGGGATGGGGTCCAGCCGAATGCACGGCTGGGTTTCGGTCAGGGATTGGCAGGGGGCCAGGTTTAGGATTGCAGTTTCAAAACTTTGGGAAGCACGGGGTTGGAACTGTAGGTGCCATCGATACCTGCCAGGGCTCCGCGACCACCGCCCGCTGCGCACACCCGGCCCCGCCCGGCCCGGCCCGGCCCTTCCCGGCCGGAGCGCGGCCTTTGCCCGCGGCCGGGCAGCACCCGGAGCCCCGAGCTCCGCCCCGCCGCTCCCGGCACCCGGCGCCGATCGCGCACGGCCGACGGCGCGGTCCCTGCCCGCCCTGCTCGGTGCAAAGAGCGGTGAGTGGACCCGGGGGTCCCGGGGTGCTGCCGTGAGGGAGCGCGGGTGTCGGCTTGGGCCGAGCAGCGAGGCGGCGGGGGGGCCGTGCCGGCGGGGCAGCCTGCGGGCCGCTGCGGCCTCGCCGAGCGCGGACCGGGTCTGCCCCGGCCCCGGGGTCAGAGCCCTGCTCCCCCCGCCGGGCCGGGTGCCTCGGCTCGGGGCCGCGGAGCAGCGGTGCAGCTGCGACCGGCGCTGAGGGGCTCGCGGCTCTGGAGCCGGCTGGGGAGCTGCCCGCCGAGCAGCACACGTGCATGGGTGGAAGGCTTAAACTGTGTAAAGAATAGTTGCAATGATCTGTACTTCTTGCTAGTAGGACTCGTCTAACTTTATTTGTTCCAACTTCCTTCAATAAACTGGTTCGATAAAGTAGGCAGTCTGAGGAGCTTAGGATCAGGTGGCTGCCCTGGAGAGGAAGAAATTGCAGTTGTCCTGAGCAAGAACTCTGCTAGAGCTGCCGTGCTTAGGTTACGTGTTTGTTCTAGGCTCCATTTGAGATACTGAGATACTGAGCTCTCCTGCTCAGTCTTAACTATGATTTCTTTCAAGTGCCTTTTCTTCAATATTAAACAGTATTCTAAAACCATGCAAACAAATAGCCTTAGAGTCAAAGATATCTATAAATGGAAGAACACATGTTTAAATAGCTGCCTGCACAGATGATAAACAGCCTTCTGAAGTGAAACTAACTGCCCGTGGATTTGGGTGTTTTGTTCTGAATGGGGAGCAGATGAGAAGAAAATGTTTGCATCATGTTTTGCATATGCAAAACAAAATTATTGACATTTGTTTTACAGTGGATGCCTCTGAGATTGTTTTCTCTCTCTGTCCTAAATTGTAACTCTATGGATTAATAACGGGGGATGTATTATAAAAAATTACAAAGAATTCATGGTACACAGACATGAGGGATGTCAAGATAGCACATAAAGGTGCAGAATGAGTTACTCAGCTACCTCTAGTGTAGTGGAGAATTTTTTGAAGCTAACATTGGCAGATTTTCCTGAAAATATGAGGTTTTGGGTGCAATTTTGAAATTCTGGTCTGTAAGTAACATAAATGAGTAAATAAATTAAAAAGCTGTAATTCTTGCCTGATGACTTAAGGAATTTAATATTAAAATTTTTGCCTTGAAAACTAATGCAGGCACTTTAATAAATATAAATACTGCTTCCTGTAATTGTTACTGGTGCCTTTCCTTATCTCCTAGCTTCCCACTTAATGAAAGATGTCAGCAGTTGGAGCAGTGTTCTCCTGCTCCTGCCTCCGCTCTGGTGTGTGGTTGCTGAAACCAGGAATGCAGAAGATGAGCTCCTTCAGCTTACACACAGCAGCCAGGTGTGCTGCCAAGGATTATTATGAAGTACTTGTGTTGGGTGGAGGCGCTGGTGGAATCACCATGAGTGCTCGGATGAAGAGGAAAGTGGGGGCAGAAAATGTGGCTGTTGTTGAGCCAAATAAGGTGAGTGTCCCTCTGCTGTAAAGCACTGCAAAGAATAAGCATTTTACATGTGACCACATGGGTCTGATTCTCATCCTTCTCCAGCCCCACATGTTTTTAACTGTGGAAAGTAAGCCTACTAACCATCTTTCAAAAGGTTTTATATGACACTTTCTTCTCCGTGAGATTTGTGCATCCCTGCAGGTTTATAATGGAAAAGTCTTTGTTATTTATACAGCTTCTTTTGTTAAGAATAATACAATGTTTAGAGTGCATTGTTTCCATTTAGAGTGGTGTGCCTTTAAGTCCCTTTAAACAGTTTTGAAATGTCCCTTTGAACTTTTATTTCAGACTCATTACTATCAGCCCCTGTGGACCCTGGTTGGTGGTGGTGCAAAGCAGCTGGCAGCTTCTGCACGTCCAATGGCAAGTGTAATGCCTGCAGGTGTTGAGTGGATCAAATCTCAAGTTACAGCATTGGATCCAGATAAGAACTGTGTCTGGCTGGAGAATGATAGCAGGGTAATAATGTAAAAAAGAAAAAAGTTTATTTATGTCATGGGTTCTGTCCTCTTCCTGCAGATTCCCTTAGAACTGGCTATTGAGCAAGGCCTCCAGCATCTAGGAGGCTGGGAAATTCCAGTTAGTCTTATGTACTTCAATCTAAAATATTTTTCTGATAAAAATTGTGGTAGGTAACTAGGTTAGAATAACATCAACTTAAAATACTATTATCATAAGCCTTTGCCCTGTGTATGGTGAACTGAACAGAAAAGAGAGAATATTTTGCTCAAGGTACCTGGGTCTGTGTATAACAGAGGCTGTGTGTGTAACTCATAATGCAGTTAGCATTTAAACTAGAATTCTTAGAGCTTAATTTATGCTACTGGTGCTCCCTATATCTCCTTCCTTGTGACTCTTGGTGTCAGGTAACTGAAATTTACTTTGAGGTAATGGTTTGGTTTGTTTGTCTAAAATACTTTTTGTTCCTTATACAACAGGTATCTTACAAGTATCTGATAATTGCTCTTGGAATTAGTCTGCATTATGAAAAGGTATTTGTTTTACAGTCATCATATTTTTACTAATTTTAATAGCATCACATACATTCATAAAAGTAAATGTATTTTCAGAACTGTTTGTACTGCAAGGTGTTGAACGCTATGAATTAAAGAGCTAGAAGACAGATCAATGACTTTACTTCTACAGATCTCTGTGTAATAACCCAAATTACCCTTGGGAAAGCCTTTTATGACAACTTTGTTGCATCTCTGTGGCAATATCAGCAGATGGGGCAGCACGTTAAATCTAGAGCTTTAAGGCAGCCTGTAGTGAGATAATAAGGTGTGCTGACTGGACTCTGAGGCATCTCTAACCTAAATGGAAAGAGGAACACAGAGCAGTCAGTAAAATCTGACCTGCAGAATTAATTTGAGCTACCCTCACCTTTCTTAAAAGATGCACTTCAAAAGGAGCCAGCTGAGTTACCAGGCCTGTGTTTAAATAGGCCCTGGGGCCCTTCCCTTGTGAAACGTTTCCTGTGCACTTCACACAGTGGCACTGAGGAAAATGTTGGTGCAAGAATGACCACAGTGATGTGTAGGAGGAGGAAAACACAAAAAGCAAGATGTCTGAGCAATTTGACTCTTGTGCTTTTACCCTGACCTGAATATGATGTATACCTGACAATATATTTAAGTATCTCTTTGAAAAGCTTTCAGGATATATGTCAAGCGAGAGCTGGTCTCAGTTAGCTGCAGTCACAAATAAGCTCTGGTGATTAGACAGTGGAATTAGAAGTTGCAGCATGTTCAGTGACCCCTCTCTCAGTCTTCATATCTACTGCTTCAGTACAAACTGAAAAAAGTAAATTCAGTGTTCACTAGTAGAAGCCATGTAACACAGTTAATCACACTCTGTAATGAAAAATAGTACCTTTAAAGCAGAAGTGGACACTTGAAAAAGGGGGATGGTTTCTCTTCACCAGCAGTGTATTCTGGTGCAGACTGGAACATCCCAAACACATGGCAG